GAAAGGAAGAGAGAGATCAACTATATCCGAGTTAAATGAGAATCGAATGCACGTTGTCCGAACGCTAACGAAACACCCTGTATACGTACAGGCCATTTTATTTATTTAAAAAACGAATTTTTCAACGTAGTGTTGTGTATGCGCGCGCGTTGTTCGATAATCCTTATTTTTCTTTTCATCTCTCTCTCTCTCTCTCTCGCTTTTTTGTCTCTTTCTCTCGAAAGTGGTTTTTGACGCGATATTCGGCGAGGGCTCGCACACAGGCCGGATTTTCTGGTCAGGATGAGGACGCGAGAGATTGACGGCTGCATTAAAAGGACGACAGGCGAAGGACTCGGGAAATCCGTGCGCAGATATTACGCGACGTTCTCGAGGTTGTCGTGTTTTTCCGTCGCGCTCCGCGAGACTCCGCGCTCCAAAAATTCGTTTCGATTCGTTCGACTCGCGAACAGGAGTTTATCCGCGGATTCATACATGTTTGATGTAGATCGGGAGGTGGTGTTGCTAACCCCGAGGTCCGCGCAGCCCCGAAGACACATCCACGGATGGATTTCAGGAGGCTAGTCCGCGTGAGAAATCGGATGTAAGGAAAAAGAAGTTACGATTTGCCGTTCTTCTCTCTCTCTCTCTTTCTCTCTCGACAACCTCCGACCGCAATTCACCATCGGCGGGATAAATTTGGCAACATTCTCTTTCTAATATTTCCATTTTCTCTCTCTGTTTTTTTTTTGCGTTTTTACACGTTTCGATATAGAACAAAATATAACGAGAGAAATATTTTATGCGTTTCGATGTGTGTTTCGACAACTGTATTCCGGTATAATTGGTTTCCCCCTCGCGCGATTTTATGCGTGTTTTATTTCGCGCAATTTCACAACGCTATTTCGTGAGTAGTGTCAAAGGCTTTGTGCGACGGTCTGGCAAAGGGCGGAGCAGAGGCGGCTTATGCGACGCATAAGAGGGTTAAAAAACCACCAATACAGACGGTCCCATATTAACTGCCGCGCGCGGTAATTTAACGATTTTCTTTTGTTCTCGTTGCCGACGGTATTGTGTTTGAACGAAACACCGAGGGGGTTAAGTAAGTCGGCTGTAGTTTCGGCTGTAGTGTAACTTTAATTCCCCTGCGAACGGCAAGTTCTGTCGGTGCTTAACGTATGTTACCCCATCCTTAAATGCAGCAAAAGTGCCGTGAACCGCTACATTTTACCGTGAATATATAGAGCCGTTCTTTTATTGCCGATACAAGCGGGAATATGGCGATTCTACGTGGAAAAAAATCAGTCTCGAGATAAAGTGGAGCAGAATTTTCGCGCGTGACGTTCCGCCACCTTTTTTTTTTTACACCAACTCGAATCGATTTTGCAAATTGGAACTTCGATAACACGTTTTATCACGCCTTCAAGCTCGAACGATTATCAAGATACAAACGGAAAGGATTCATCGCGTCGTATTAAAAAAAAAATAATAGAAACCGTTTTATCGAACTGCGTAGCGTTGTCACTAAAAATTGTGCAATCTCGAAACGTCGGAACAAAGAAAAGACACCTTGCTTATCTTTTAATTTTTCCATTTTTAAATTCAACCTTCTGCGTGTACGGGTATGTGTGTGTGTGTGTGTGTGTGTGTGTGTGTGTGCGTGCTCGCGTTTGCCGAAAACAAAGCCGCGCGCACAGAGGTTTCACACTGCAATTGCCGATCTCTTTTGTGTAGATCTTGGAAAGTGTATCTTTAAAAATTTCGTTTACGTGAGTCTCTCTTCGAAGGTGTGCTTTTTAAAATTTCATTTGTGCACATACCTTGACATTTAGACACTCGTATCGTTCTTGTCGGAGCGTGCTCCCGTTTCTGTGGATTTTCTTGAGGATTCCACGTCGAGAAATTACACCGTTGAGAACAATCGAAAATTGGCGTCGATTAAATGGACGCGCTCGGGAATTGTAGAGTTCTCTCTTTCTCTCTCTTTCTCTTTCTCTCTGTCTGTCTGTCTGTCTTTCCGGCCGGGAGAAAAAAAGAAGCGAAAGAGAGGAAACGAGGTACCGGCGAGAAATGGGGGCAAGAGATGCGGCGACTTAGTTCGTGAAGAGGTATCGACGTTTCCCACGACGCTATCTGTCGCGGATAATGCATCAGCCGCCGCGAAATATCTCGCGTCGCGTCCATATCCTCTACCTCGCGGCAAATACTTGGCGTGTCGAGCGTCAGATTACCGGAAACACAGCCGCAATTAAATTCTCAACGCGCGAAGGTGAAAATAATACGCCGCTCTTTAGCGGCGCTGATATTTTAACGGTCATTCGCACGGCGGCTGGAAAAAAACACTCGGCACGTATTATGTGCGCGTCGAACGCCCCAACGCACGAAATATCGAGGAATTATGAGACCGAGCTCTTTTCATAATCCCGGGATCCTTTAGAAAAAAGCGAATGGTTTCCTCTCTCGCTCTCTCTCTCTCTCTCTCTCTCTTCTTTTTCCACTTTTTCTAATCAATTGGCGGTTTTAATTCGAGACAAAGGAAGTTCGTATAATTAACTGCGTATTAAATGACAAAAATAGTTTCCACCGTGAGCCGGATAATACGATAGACAACGATTAATTATTTAATGCGCGACGCTGTGACCCGCTTAATTACTTACGGGTCTCTCAAAATAATCAGTTACAATTGAAAATGCGCATACAAAATTAAATAGGACGCATATATTAAGCCAAATAAGCTTAAACCGACGTAAATGACATTACGAAATTACGGGAATTTCGTCATTGTTTAGTTCGCGTCACTCGTGCCGATAGCCGACGATCCACCGGCGATCGTCACTTCGCTTCACCTTCGCGAGCTGTGCACGTCACACAGCTGCAGTCTCCCTCTCCCTCTGTGCGCGCGCGCGATTCGGTGCAATTACAGTTGCCCATTCTCTTTCACCCCCTTTTTCCTCTTCCTTTTTTTATTCAGCGCGTGTGTCTCGCGCGAGTTAACCCGCGCAAACACGCGGCCGCTCGCTCTCGTGAATTCGCGGTCACGTACCGCGCGTAAAATACGCTCTCGGCGCTTTCGGGTTTATACATCGAGTTTAGGGTTCGTTCGTCGGCACCTTAAGGCCACGAGGATAAAGCGGTCCTTCGAACGAAACGGCCTCTCTCTCTCTCTTCCCCTCTCTCTTTCTCTCTCTCTCTTTCACTTGGAGATTTATGCGCGCCGCGCCGGGAAAAATCGAGCAGATAAGATGAGATGGTGCAACTACGTGCCGACGAGGGGACGGCGGGATCTACTTGGAGTAGATTGTCGGCGAATTTGTGGGAACACGCGTGGAGGCTTCGCGCGCTGTCGGCTGTTACGTGTACAGGGTGTTAACCCTTAATTGATGCGACGCGAGTCGGGTCGCCGTTGAAGCCGCGACGGCTCAAGCTTAGACCTTTCGCGTGCGTGGGTGGCCGTAATCGTCTTTGGCTGTATAACCATGGAGTGCTAGCTGCCTACTTTTTTCTGTAGTGAAAAGTCTGTCAACATCTATAGCATCGCCTGGACATAACAACGATTACTACCTAAGCTATCATCGTACTTTCATTCCTGTTTTTACCCAGTTCAATGTTGTTTTGTTCGTGATTATAGATAGATCTCGATATTATAATATCATATGTGACAAGTATATTGAACAATTGATTATTTTATCATCACGTGTGTATATTCGGCGTCATGTGTGTCCGAACACTAGATTGAGAATTGTCTTCAACCAGACTGTCGTGCGTTTCTGCATGTGCATTCGTCGTGACAACTGCGCGGGGAAAGATCTCAGTTTTGCGCAGATCGAGAATTATTTCCGACCAGACTGTCATCCGTTTCTACATATCCATTTATCATGACTGCAGTGCAGCAAAAGAATTTCAGTCTGTGCAGGCGAATAGATACCAAGTGAAAATATTCGACGACGACGTGAAATCACGTCTCTGTTACCGCAACTGGAAACATTTGTCTGAACATTTTTCAACTGTATTAAAACTCGGTCGCAACAATCGACTGAGTAGAAACTTCCTACAGGAATCTTTCTGTTCCTACGACCGAGTCTTTCATTTGATCCCTGTTCTTACCAAGCAATGGAAAGTACAGTTATATACACGGGAAGAAAAGGAACCCGGTTGAATTAACGTGACATGTTGGGTCAGGCTAGCACTGGCGAAGATAGACAGACTTTCTGCTTGTTACAACGAAATATTCTGGCCGAGGATAAACAGACTTTTCTGGTTGTTGCAACGAAAAATATTAGGACCTCAACTGATTAATTAGCTTCCTTTTATTCCCAGCCAAAGATCAGACGTTTCTTTTTATCAGATTTAATATATATATATAGGGTTGAATCAAAACCCGCGATATAATTAGCTCGGAGCTGCCGAAAAAGAAGCATAAAAGATATAGATATCAATTCATGATATAGATATCAATTGTTATATACAGAAGTATAGATACCAAATGTTATATATTAAATCAGAATCCACATTTAGTTAATGTTATATATAGAAATGTTACATATAGAAGTACAGATATCAAATGTTATATATTAAATTAAAATCTACATTTAGTTAATGTTATATATAGAAGTAAATCAGAAGAAGTAATTAGCTTGGAAAGTGAGTAGTCATTTAAAAAGGAAGCATAAAAGATCATGTATAGATATGTATCTAAGACTTACTGTTATTGAGTTAGCTTCGAAAAGAAGACAAAGTTATCAATTTCTCTGACTGCTTTGCTTTTCGTGAAATTATGATCAATAATTATGATCGACATGACGATGAATCGGTAACGGCAGGCATTAGAAGACGTCTGTGTGAAATTTCTTGCTTCCCTTCTAGTGACTAATCACCGATGGCAATTTATGCAACATCTGTTTTAAACAGTTCAACACGATTCTCCATGAGACTTTGCTGTATTCGCGTAAAGATTTATACACAAATCGCATGCGTATCTAAAAACAAACATATGAAACGTGAAGAAAATTTGTATAGATTACCAGTCGTTGCCGGTCTTGGTGACATTTTGCCGCTTACGTCCGGTCTGGTGGGGCTTTGGCTCGGCTACCATGTTCACATCTGCGCAAACACAAGCAAAATGTACCTCGTATTATTGAACATTATTCCATTCGCATGCTCTTCCCATTACGGAAGCGCGAAGAGCAAGCGAAGAAAGGAGATAACGTGCGAGCAGTGATTAGCGCATATTTCGCGATAAACGAGAATTTCAATGAACGAATTAAACGTGTGCCCGCTTTATCTCTGTGGCTACTTTCTGATCGCGCGGCGATCATTCCTGATACGATCGAGATTAAGGGATTTTGAGAATCGGCTCAAACGAACGGCCGCGTCGTGATACAAGCGCGTTTCCGCCGGCGCGTTTCACCGCCTCGCAGTCTATCAGCGGCTTACGCGGATTAATAAAGCGAAGACGGCGACGAAGAGCGAAGTTTCCGCTCAGCGTTTCCGCAAACAGTTATTAATTTCGCTGCCTTTGAGCTGGCCCGCGGCGAGATTGATAATGAATGCGCCGCGACGCGACGCGGAGAGAGCGACGTCGGCGTGCGCGATCGAGGGACAAGTATTTCTCATTCTTCTTGTTCCCCCGTCGGTGGCCGAGATGGTTTCCGTATTCATCATACAGGGTGACTCAAAAGTCGCGCAACAGGTGTGCAACGATATTGATCTATCCACTGTCCTATAGTGACACGCGCCCAACGACGATTCCATATGTATTTCTCGAATGTTGACAGCGTGACAGATGCGCGAATCGTAATCCGTGAAAGGGACGCTTCTTTCGGAATGGCGATAATTACAAACGTGTTGAAACGACGACGACTCTCGTAAGAAAAGCGAAACACACGGAGAGGAAAATCAAATCACGTATAAGAACGCAGCGGCAGTTTTACCTTGCACGCTGAGACAATACAATTTTTAATATCCCACTCTCTTTCTCTCTTCTTCCGCCGAAATTAATTCAATGCTTTCAACGCGTAAAACAACTGAAGGAACCGATGCGGGGAAGCACAGATTCGTGCAAAAATACCAACAATTTATCAGCATTGGTGAAATCGAAAAGCACCTCTTTTTCTCCTCTTCTCTCTGATGGAAGACAAACGCGGCAGGTTGATAATATTACAATACAATTTTGGCGGACAAAGAATACGTAAAAGAGTTTTTTATGAAGGAGTAATTATGAAGAAGTAATTTATGAAGGAAAATATATAACACATTACTAATAGAGATAAAACAAAAGACTTGATAAATTTAAACAAATGTTAAAGCAATATATTTTATAAACAATTAAAGTGTAATTTGTTATAAACAAATAGCTGAGAAAACTAACAAAGATCAATTGATTTATCTCTCTCTCTCTCTCTCTCGGATTCTCTTTCTTTCTCAAGTTTTCTGAGCTGTGTTGGTCAAGTAAATTGTCTTTCTTGTCGCGAATACTACACGCCCTTAACTTTTTCTTTAATCTGTGGATTATCTCATTTCATTGTCAATGTCGCGCGTGAGTTGTAGGGAATAACATTCAATTTCTATGATATTTTCGCTTTCCTGCATCGGCAGGGGGCACGTTTAAAATAATTGCGCAACATGTCTTCGTCCAATATTTCCGAAAGCGAGAAATTTCCTGCTTAAGACAAATTAGAATTGGCAGTAGAGAACTCCGCATGTGATGGACGTCAAGGAACTGCACGCAGCTGCAGTCTTCCTCGAGGAATGCAATATATTGTGTATCTCTGAAATCAAGGTTAGTATACCAAGAAGACAGGAAGAAATGAAATGCCACGGAGATAGTGGCACCTGCCGGAGGCGGAAAGTTGGAATGGCAGAACCGATAAGGAAGAAAGTGTCAAGAGGAGCGAGAGAGTGGAAGCGAGGAAGAGGGAAAGTAGCGAAAACGGGAAAAGCGATAGAGCAAAGGAAAACTAATATAAAGGAAAGGGAGCAGTTCCAATTCGGTGGAATTGTTCTTCCATCTTGGTGGGAGCAAAAGGAGTAAAAATTTCAGAGTAGAGACAGGGAGAGAAAAGAGACGACGAAATTGCTCAAAAGAATTAATACGACGCCAAGAATGGCGGCGAAAAACCAGAGAAGAAAGAAACGGGAGGGGAGGAAGACAGGAAAATCAGCACTGAACGGGAAATGTAAACGATATGAAGAAAAAAGAAGGAGAAAAGAAGAAGAAACTCAACGAAATCAACGAAGAACTTGAGCAACGAAAACACGCCGCGACAAATAATAGACGCGCGCGCGACGTTAATAGACTGCCGTGAAATTTTCATGAAGAGAAAGGAGAGTCCCCAGAGAGAGCACTCTCCATTTCGCCGAAGTCAAAAATACTCGCTGCTCATTTTTGTATAGCCATTTCGTATACAATAAAGAGCAGATTAGTAATATAATATTAACATAAAATCTCGAATTCCATGCCAGAATATCTACGTTCGTAGGGCACGTAGAGCCAAAATGAAGACGGTTTTTCCACAAAAAAAAAAAAAAAACAGAATTCTCTGGAATTGATCGAGTCTACCCAAACTCTAATCGATTCAGTCAGGTGTTATCGCGCTTCGATAATCTCGCTTTTCGCTCAACTGGCCGGGTCGCACATAGCTACTTGGCGCGAGACCGTGTATCTTGATACCCTCTAAAGCACAATCAGCTTCTGATTTTTCAATAGCAAGGTCTGTTGCCGTTATTGATGCACTTACGCGCTACAGATTTTACTGAAATCTTACTTTCATTGGTATACACGTTGGTACATGATAGATTTTTCGCTGAAATCAGTGAACACTGATTCTCGGCGAAATACTCCGTTTACCGACTCACTTTAAGGCTCGTATTAATAATTGTTACCTGAAGCTTGTCTCATGCCAGATATTCGCTGGATCCAAGTTTTTTGACTAGAAATAGAATATACGCGACGTTTATATTCGCGCTCATGATTCAACTGAAAAGCTCTCATCTGATTCACATCTGAGCATCTCACTTGAGACGAGCGACCAGTGATGAGTATTAATACGGAGCTAAGGAAGTAAAGAGGGAGTAAATGGAAGCAAAGAAAGAAGGGGCAAGAATTCGCGTCGTTCGAACGAAACAATCGCGAGTTCGCCGTTTCTACATCCACCTCCTCGCCCGCCCGTCCGCGTCGCAAATCACTTCGTCCTGAACATTTTCTATCGCGCCCTCCGCCGGCAAGACGCTTGCCTCGTCGTATCCGTGTCGCTAACTTCCGGACGTTCTACAAACCGTCGAGTTTCTGTAGCAACCCCTACCGCTACCCACCGCCGCCACCATCGCCACCACTACTACTATCATCGACACCACCACCACTACCACCGCTGCCGCTGCCACCACCACCACCACCACCACCACCGCCGTCCCTTTACCACCCCTTCACCATACCGAGCTCTCGCAGGGGGTGGTTTGTGGATGTTCCTTGTTAGAGTAGCGGGCTGATTCTGTTGTGTGCGCAGCGGCGCGCCTCGTCCTTTGTGTGAGCTAACCAAACACCCCCTTCTCGTGTCCCGCTGTACCTCATCCTCATCCTCCGTCCCTCGCTGCCCGGCTCTCTTGCCCATCTCCCTCCCTCCTTGCCTCCCCCTTTATCCTTCTGCTCCTCCATTATCGCGGCTACTTGCGCAAATTGTTTACACGTCGGCCCGCGAACGTTTCATGAGGCCGTCCGAAAATTGATGATTTGGTGGATGTTTGCTGCACTTTCAGCTGCTGTAAGAGGAAGTGGGGCTGATTTATTAGGGAAGGAGGTGGTAAGGGATAGTTCACGAAGCTACTGAAGATGCTGGATAAGGCTGGTTAAAGAGCAAAGACAGAGAAGGAAGAGGAGGAGGAGGAGGATGTGGATGGAGGGCGACGGCATTTGGGTTCACGAGGTCGGCATTTGTACGGGGTCATCCGTTAATGGTAGCGCCACCGCGCCGGGAGTTAAGGGAGAGGGGCGACGATGCTACAGAAAGAGAGAGGAGGGAAAGGGACAAAAGTCGAAAATGCGGTGTGGAATTTTTCTCTGTCCGCAAAATCTCATTTTCCGAAGGACAAATCGGACAATTGGAAGATCGGCGGGTAACTCCACTTGAGCTTTCAGCTCGTGTGACTTTCTACGAACAAATCTTTTCTCACAATGGCGCCTATTACAAAAAAAAATAAACACAGAAATACAAAGCACGGTGCAATGTTCTAAAATAATAGCGCGATATTTGATGTAACGTTGAAAAAGGAAGAAAAAAGAAAATCAGGATGATCTCTCTTGATTCATAAGAGAGAACTTCGAGGACTTCCTCGACGATCCGAAGGGCTCTTCCGCAAAAGAGTGAGGAGAACGACACGGTTTTCATTTCACCGTGAAATCTACATATCGTGAATTGGTGAGGGAATGAAAATAGGGTGCGCCTCTCTGAACATTTCAGCGGGATGATAGCGGCTCGTTTGGCGAAACGCTCGCGGAAGTTAAGCGCCTTTCTCGAGCACGGCGCCGGTATAAGGAAGGATAATACTTATCAGGCGTCCCAACGCGACGCCCTGTAGCGGTTCGCCAGGATAATCCTGATTTCCTAATCCCTCCGGCTTAATACCACGATAATTCATATATTATCGCGCTCGCAACATTTTTCTATAATAATTTTCACTTGCGCACTCTTTCTCCCGTATATTGTTATATCGATTCTGCCGACCAGACACTGCCGAGTCTTTACAATATAGCGGTTATCCAATCCCTTAAGCGGTATGTGCCCGGAAAAGTCTCGTGATAAAAAATATTACATTCCCTTTACAAAAGACTATTACATTCACCTAAATTATTATATCTTTTTTTTAATTCATAAAAAATTAAGATTGTAGAGGAGAAGGTGGTATTATGACCCGTGTGGATATATCGGCCATATTGCGACTTTCATTTCTTTTCGATCCACTGTGCAGTGTCGCTATATTTTCATAAATATTGCCCTAAGTATTAAGTACATAACTTACATTACATACATTACGTATTACATAACTTTGAGTCTAAAGTTGATTAAACGATACTTTGAAATATAACCATTAAGTCTTTAATTTAAAAT